AGTATTCATACAAAATTAGAAATGCAGAATGACTATACAGTTATTAATTTGTATTGAATTAGCTGGCAGGCAGTGCCTTAGTCATGTTTTCATATTAATATTGATGGCAGGTTATTTTCTTTATGTTTTGTTTACAGAAAAGAAGCAAGTCTCCTCCAAAGAGCTTTTGAATTTAAATCCACTCTAAACAGCAAACCCTGAAGAATGTGAATTCTGATATAATTCTAAAGTCATAGAATGGGTTGAGCTGGAAGGGACCTTAAAGAACATCCATTTCCAAACCTCTGCCATGGGCAGGGACACCTCCCACTAGAGCAGGTTGCTTAAAGCCCCATCCAACCTGGCCTATAAATTACTGGCATATAAACCCACAATGAGTTAAAGTTTCAAGGGCAAAGATGAATTCTGGTTTTGTGAACTGCACAGGTGAGGTACTTTGTGCTTCATCTGCTTTGCTTCCACACATGCAGCCTTGTATTTTACAGTGCAGTGAGCTGGACTTCCTGTGCCTACACCTTAATGTTCTCCTCAAAATCGTGACTAATTCTTTCATCATTCATTATTCAACAAAATACTCCAACATGAGAATAGACATATTCAGTCTTTCATGAGCTCTCAGCAGCCTCCAGAATATTAGCTGATTCATTTAACAAGCCACAGATGAAGTAAACATCTGCCTAATGAGTCAAGACTGTGAGATTCCCTATTGTGGGAAACACCAGGAAAAAGCCATGGTGAATCAATCCAGGGACACACAGCGCAACACGGGCCCATCAGTGACAGCCTGTTGCATGAAACATTGGGTGTGGTTACAAAAGATACGCAGCAGCTCAAAACCAACAGTACGTACTCTTTGAAACTGGCCTAGGCTGACAGCGTCCAGTAATCAGTGTCATGGCTCTCAGGTGGATTCCAGCAGCAGTGTCCAGGCATGCTGCACACTGGAACCACCACTGCCAGAAGAAAACCATGGACTGATAAATTGTCTGAACTGCACAAAAATAGTCCAACCCACCACATCTTTGCGGGAAGTATGAGCTAATTTATCAGTTCTTTGCTACCTTAGATTATTTAGCATTGTGACAGAGATCCACTCACAGAGATAACGGTAACTACAGGACCATATAAACTGTGACATCACCAAGGTACGCTTGCTAAAATATTTCTTTTATAAATACATGCATCCCAAATAACTGTGTGTTGATTCTCCCACCCTTATCCCACTCTTCCTTATCTTTAGTAGCCAAATGTCTGTTTATTTTGGCAACATGTTGTTACATGATTCCACTCCCGAGGCTGAGACTTGTATTTTCTGTACAGCTGATGGATCTCCATGTCCATATTACATATACCTATCTTCCTACATATAAATATGCAACCCTCAGAGCAAGCAACAAGCTCCATGCTCCTTAGTGAACCTGCAAAATTACTTTCATTTTCTGCTAAGTTCTCCAGAACAGATTTTTTATCTAAGGTAGTTTTCAGCTTCATTTGTATTAAGTCACTTGATCAGTAATAACTTCCCATGAGAATACCTCTATCATAAGAAGCCTCTACCTCAAGAAAGGCATTACAATGAGAAGGCACAATTTAACATAAACGGTCTTCATGCACAGCAAAGGGGAATATGTCAGTCTTTGCTCCTCTTGCTTAATGTTATTTCCTCAAACTTAAATCATGAAAACAAAGCCAGGTTCTCACCTCAAAGAACCACTCTGAATCAGTAAGCAGTAAGAACTGCTAATGACTGAAACAAAAGAGATTTGTGTTTCTACATATAAAAACATCCATATGCTGAGTGGTTTATAAACAGTTACAAAGAAGGCTGTAGCTGAGACGTGTTGCTTATGTCAGCTGTTGCATCTAGGTGGTATCAGAATGGCTCTATGCCTGTAGGTTTTTTCTTTTTAGGAACAACTCACGGAGGTGATTTGGAAAATTGAGATAGAGGCAATTATGATAATATCTCATCCCTCAGCAGATACTATGTATTCTTCTCACACACTATTGTATTTTTTTAAATTAAAGCAGCTAAAAGAACAAAATATAATTATGGTGGAAACACCTTTAAGACATTTTATTATCTGAGTGGAAACATCATGCACTACTTGGTATTTGGATTTTTTTTTCTTTTTGTTCCAAACAGAAGCGTTGCTTTTTTAACATATCTATGAATTGCTTCTTATGCACTCTTTCAAATATACAGAACACACAAGCGGTACACTACTACATCATCTGTTTTTCTATGAGGACATCAAGATGGTTTTACTTACACTGAGTGAATGCAATATATGAAATTTATGTAGTGTAGATAGACCATACATATGACTGTGTGTGTGAAAGTGTGTGCTTCAAGTACACTGATTCAGTAGATGGCACACCAAAATTTCAGCAATATTTAATGTAATAAGTGGGCAATTTACATCCATATTTCTAAGAGAGATAACATGAGCTAGGAAGGGTCTTCACTGAGAGTTTTGGTGTTGTACGCCACACTGTTCCATAACACATGCAGCACATTTCTGAACATCATGCCCAATTAGAAACCTCTCTAAAATTCAGAATTTTACAAAAGAAATGAAACTTCAGAACCGGAAAACAGCTCCCACTACCTGATGACCACATTTGATTGAAACAGAGCTTAAGCATTTTCTGGTTTACGCACTGTTCTAAAAATTCTTCTCCATCTAACTAGGAAATCAAGAAGTATCTGTGTCTGGAGATTGTGTCACTGATCCACTAGTAAACATCCTCTGTAAAGTGATGTTAATGAAGAGTTTCTGCACAGCTTGGGCATAGGAAGTACAGGAAACACTAAAGATCCTCAAAGGTATACACGTGGTACACTGCAATTAGTTCTCCATCCAAGTACTACTTTTCTTCATAGTATTTGCTAGTTTAATGTTACCACATTATAATTCAAGTAAGTAGCTAAGTGTTACTTCCTATTACATGCAATTTTATGCCCATTTTTTGACATTTCCTTAAGATAAAACCCACTTAATAGCAAGACTCCCTTTTCTTTGTTTGATCCAGACTTTGTTGTTTGCAAAAAGTTGTTAACTTCTGATTTAAATTTAAAGATCAGTGGCGCATGGCAAAAATCTTTCTCATTCTGAACACAGACTTCTTTCGTGACCACTATGAAATTAAATCATCACGAAATAATACACAAACCACTAAGTTTTAGAGCGAGGTGTCCCTGCCCATGGCAGGGGGGTTGGAACTTGATGATATCTTAAGGTCCTTTCCAACCCTAACTATTCTATGATTCTGTGATTCTAAGTCAAAAATTATGTTTACAAAATCACCTGAAAATTAGATACTTAAAAAAACACCAATACAGGAAGGTTATAGGAGTGAATATACTTTTATGCCCATCACCTCTCTATCTTGGGACAAGCTTTTTAATCATGCAATTACATGCAACTGTCACAGATGCACAGAATATGCTTACAGCAGTTTTCCATGCACCCCCTTTCTGCACTTCACTCTATGCATAAACTGCTACCTTATCTGAAATAATTGAAAAGTCTGAAAGAGTAAAATAGGAGATGAACCACGACTTTCTGCTTGAAATTAAATGAAACCTGACTTTTGGAGTCCTCATGACCCAAAAGATGCTGCATTGGATAAACTTATGATAGCACTATACCCCTAAGTAAATAAAGATGTAACTTGTCTCCCTTTCAACTGCAATGTTAGAAAGGCTGACAGGGCTTCACAAAACCCTCCTGTGTTAGGGAACGGAAACTCCTAATGAGATTAGTTGGTGTGTGTGCAGACATTACTTAGCCATGACTAAATGGGCTCTCTTCCTGCAGCCAGTGGAAAATTCAGGGAACTTTTTCCCCCTGCAGCATCAGAGTCCCTCTAACCTTCAGCAAAGCTGGATCCAAAAACAACTCCACTTTCTCTCCCTTTCTCTCGCTCTTTTTTTTTTCTTTTCTTTTTTTTTTTTTTTTTCCTTTCCTTACAAACATTTTTAGTGTTTTTTCGGTTGTTCGTGGAAACTCTCCACGTCGGCCAAGGGGTCTTGGGGCAGGGGCTGGCTAAGAAAAGCGGGGAGGGGGAGGCCGGGCAGAATGCAGAAGACTACAAAGGAAACTGTAAAAAAGGAGCAAATACATAAACCTGAGAGGGAGAAAACCACAGAGTTTCTTTGTGAGCTGCAGTGACTCATTTTCAAGATGTTGTCTGCTGCCAGTTTCAAACCGGAAGCGCATGGCAATTAGTCTTGCTGTTTCCAGACAAGCCAGAAACTCTCCCGACACTTCCCTCCCCCCCCCCTTTTTTTTAAAGCCCCTTCTGCAGTTTCTGCAGGAGCATTCCCCTCCCTCCCCTTTCTCTACTCACCCCAGCCCCATTCGGCGCCGGGAACCCCACGGCGCCCCCGCAGTCCTGACCGGCACCCGGGCGGCCCCCGCCGCCCCGAACGCCGCTATCAACGATGCTGCTCTCTCCGGGCAGGCCCACGCGGCCCCGGCAGCCGGACACGACCCGGCACCGCTGAGGGAGCTGCGGGCGCGGGGATCCCGGGGCTCCCCCCGACTCGCTGCTCCCTGTCAGGCAGCGCACACACACACCCCCCCCACAGCCTCTCCTCCTCTCCTCACACCCCGACCCCTAACGTGCCTGCCCCCCAACACACGCTCCGTCCTCTCACCTACACCCGCCGCTCCCGGGGGCTGGCGGGGCCCCTTGAGGCAGCAGAACCCCCCCTTCCAGCGCCCTCCACCCGCCGCTCCCTGACCGCCACCCCCTGCCCCCACCACGGCAGCGCTAGCTGGGCCCGACCCCAGGGCAGGACCCCCGGGACCCCCGGCCCAGTGTGGGGCTCCACGCTGCCCCTCGGCGCTGCTCACCGCCAGCCCCGCTGCCCCGCCATCCAGGGGTGCACCGAACCCCAGGGCAGCCGCCGGCCTCCCCTTCACTCCCCTCCCCACAGCCCCCCGAAACTTCGCGGGAGTCGGGGCAGGCGCAGCAGCACTTGTACCTACCCAGCGGCTGAGGGACTTCTCCGCTCTCTCCTGGTAGTTTAGAGGGAGCCGGGTAAAATTCCCTGGTTCTCCATGCTGACAGTCTTCTGCAAACGCTCTGTTGCTCTTGTAATGAGATCCTGATTTTACTTTTTTTTTTCTCCTTTTTTTCCCCTTCGGCCGGGGTGTGTGTGTGTGTGTGTGTGTGTGTGCGTGTGTGTGTGCCCGTGTGAGAGAGCGAGCAGGAAGTCAGAGCAGTCAGACAGAGAGCCGGCTCACTTCCTTTCCTGCATTATTCCCCAGGCGGTTTGCAGTCTGTGTAAACAGGCTTTTCCTCCCCTCTCCCCTGGCTCTGGCCACTGATGTGCAGCATGGCTGTAATGTAAGACACACACATAGTAAAATGGGTAACGGTGACTCCGCAGCCTCGCAGGGAGCTCCGCCGGCTCCCCCGACCTCCACCTCTTCCTGTGCTACACCCCTAGGGAGGAGCTTCCCGACAGACCAGCGCTTGGCCCACCGGCCCCTCTCGGCTTCCCGCTCGTCCAAGTGCTTTGCCAAAAGCGTAGAATCATGGAATAGCTTGGGTTAGAAGGGACCTTCAAAGGTCCTGTAGCCGAACTCCCCTGCAAAGAGCGGGGACGTCTTCAACTAGATCAGGTTGCTCAGAACCACGTCCAGCCCGGCCTTGAATGTCTCAAGGGTTGGCACATCTACCACACATTTTATCCCCAGGTGACAGCTGGGATATGGGTATGAGATGCTTACAAGCAGTGCTTTGTCCTCCAAGAGCATCAGGAGGGGCCTCAGCGAGGCATTGGCCTTGGTAAAGGTGTCTGTTCTTGTCCCACCACACTAGGTGCTCAGATGCTGGTGAAGCAAGGTGTTAGGGGCCTCCACTTCAGGTCAGTGGAAGTTGAAGGGCTGGTGGTGTGTGGGATCTTGCTGGATGTGCTGGCCGCCTTCCGGAGCTGGACCTCATGCAGATGGCTAAATACAGAAACAGTGCCCCATTGCACAACATAGATTGAAGGAAATGATGTATTAAAAGTCAAGGGGTTCTCAAATCATCAAATTCAAGCCAGGTCTTCCAGCTTCACATCATACCTCAGAGACAGACCAGGCAGTGGCAGCTGGATAATTGCGATTTAGGTTCTGACCCTCAAGTTGTAGACCTCAGAATGAAAGCGTTGGTTTGGATTTATTGAAGGGCACACATTTCCAGTATTTTGAGTTTGCATCCTTTGTGTCTCATACATCTGCATTGTACTATTTCTAACTTCATTTGGAAATTCTCAGAGTGAGTGACATTATCTTCTCTATGACCAATGCATCAGTGATGTTCCATGCATAATGATTTAAAATCAGTACTGCACAGCTATTTAACAGTCACAGGATTTATCAATCCAGCCCAATAACTGCAGTTCAAGATGTTCTTGACATGCATTGATACAAAAACAATGATTATTTTATCACTCCATTGGGATTTTGCTTACGGTGTCACTGGGAATGAAAGCATGCTCTGATGGAATTAAAAAGGTCGTCACAGTTGGCCCCTGAGCATTAGTCAGTAGCATCTGAACAGCTGGTGGTGAGCAAATTGCAGGTCCCTTGTGGAAGTCCATCAGGGTTCTTCCTTCTTGCCTTCTAACATGAAGGAGCAAGAATACAGTACTGGCACAGTAACTTTGTAACTTTCCTGAAATAATTTCTTTTAGAAGTCATTCTAAATTTTAAAATGCAGATGTGAGGTCTGCTAAATCCTCATTTTGTGTTTCTCAAATGCAGAATCATTAAAATGCTTAATTTGAGACAGTGTATTTCCTAGATCAAAATGCAGTGGACAAAGTCCTTGCTGGAAGCATTAGGACACAGGAATCAATCTTTGTTTGGGAACTACAACTGAAGACCCAGATTTGCAAAACCAGGGCAGACAGAGGAGCTCTTATGGTGCTGATATGCCACTTTGGACTGACAGCTGGGGGTACCAGCGTTGGTCTTTCACATTTAATGTTTGTTGATTTCATGAACAAGAGGTGAAGCAGAGATATTCCAGAGTTGCCTTGAACGGTTATTGGTGGGTGTGGAGATCTGAGAACAAACTCTCAAAACCAGTATGACTTCTTTTCTTTTACAAAAGGTAAACAACACTTTAAAGAGATGTTTAGAGCTTGAAATGTTTCTGATATTTATTACACTGTAACTTGGTTGACAGCACTGGAATTTCTTTGACAGCACCAGCCTTACTTTTGCCTAGATAGTGAGATAGAAACCTAAATCAAGCTGCTGGAGGGTGGATGACCACTGGGTGAGAGGTCTTCATATTACCTTAGAGATGCTGGAGAAGAAAGTGCAGAACTTGTTTAATGGAATAAAGCCACCAGGATATGCTGAAAACACAAGGAATTCCAAAAGCTCTGATGAATGTGGAAGAAAATGAGAGCTCTTGACCAGGGCTACTGATTTTAGCAATATGGATGTCATTGGAAAATACTTTTTGAAATTACATCTATGTTCTTTATAACAGCACTGTACTTAACAGAATACTGAAACTCTCATCTGCAGTATCTGCCTGGCTAATTTAATGTAGACTTACAGTTATCCTTATGGATTATTTTACGCAAAAGTACAAAAGGATGAATAAAGAAAATTGCAGGTTTGCATTGTGTAAGAGCCTTTTTTCTTCTGCAAAAGCAGTTTCACTCAGAAAACCTGTTTGTTAATGTAGTCATAAAAATGCTAGTTATTTTGTTGGTAGAGTCAATGTGTCTCAATTCACATCCATTCATCAGCACATATTATCATTACAACTGTTATTTCTAAAGCCCTAGTCCTGTCCTCAAGCTGTGAAGATTTGGGGTTTTAACTTTGGAAATTGTTGTTCATTGCTCAGAGTTGGTCCAGACAACAGCTGTTGCACTCATACAGGACTAAGTGTAACTAGAGACAGCTCCCCTTCAACAAGTAAGGCAGGTTACCCCTGCTGAAAGACCTAATCTGGTGGGTTCAGGCGATCCTTGAACAAACACATGCACCCAGGGTGTCCCTGTGTCCTGTTTATCTAAGGATAGTAGAGTTTGTAGAAGAGCCTGTATTTATAAACCTATCCTTCTGTTGAAAAAAAATCACCCTAAAGTATTCCCGAGTGTAGTGACTATAATTCTACCTAATTTTTATCAGATTACATCAATTAAGAAACCAGGCTTTGTCTGTCCTTTCAGATTGTTTCTACCATATTTTTAAATCATTCATAAATCTCATATGCTGCTGTAATTAACCCCTCTAAAAGAAGGAAACAAAAAAATGAAGGCAAATTTGCTGTGCTCCAGATATCTGTTTAAGCTCTTCAGGCTGAGGCTCATATCTGTGTTGGTGTAGGATTTTGTGTAATTTCACCCTGAGCCTTGAGTCCCACTGTAATTAAGTTATTAAATTAGATTAAATAATTCTAATGTCACTTTGTGGTACACAATTTTCCTTAAACGTACATAGATGCTTATAATTATGTGTAATTATCAAGAACAAAGTTGAAAGCGGTTGGAAATAATTGTTGTTTTATTTAATATTTTAATTATGAATCTATTTAATGAATGTATACATTGTCTCACCCTCTCTAAACACTTTGTATTTCTTTCTAGATGACAGGTGCTGCAGTAAAGAGGCTTCAGATTTGTGTCTGCCTTTATGACAACCAACACAATGGATCCTGTGGGAGAACCATTCGTAACCATTCTTCTCCCTTATTTTCTACTAATTCTAGCTTGAATAACCACCTGCCAGGCTACAGGGGGATTTCCAGGGGATTTTTGAAAGTGGGTATATAGAAACTAATTACAGGAGTAGGAATGATGGCCTAATTCATGTAGGATTCTTGGTTGCTCTTCACAATATACTATTTAAATGCCTTGCAAATGTTGCATCACTATTGACAAATATTCCTTTAGCAGGTTTGGCTTTTCTCTTTCACACTTTCCTGTAGCTGGACAAACACGGGCTTCAGAGCCAACAACTTCATTATTGCAAAAAATCCCGGGGGATCCATACTGCTCACAAAGTGGTCAGGTCTTCAGTTTTATCTCATCTCACAGCCAGCTCCACTGGCAAGAAAAGTGCTGTCTGCAGTACTGTACAGTGCTACCTCCAGGGTGTAGCACTGACTGTAAACCCATGGAAACTCGACCGCACATTGTTCCCTGACAAGCATTATTTCTTCCTGGGGTTTTTGCTGAGCTATCTGGAGTAAAATTGTGAGCTTTAGAAAATTTTTTAGATGGCAGACATCAACAGAACTGTGTTTGATGTTGAGAAACCTCTTGTTCAAAGTTGGATCAGTTGAGTCAGTAAAACAATTGCATGTCATCATCAGAAGGTTCAAAACCTCATGCCACACTTTCTGGAACAAAGAAATTCTGCAAGTTTTAACCTCAACTATTTTCTGTCAGAAGCAGGAGGAGGGTTAAGTGTTTCTTCACACCATGAAATAAGTATCCTGTGCAGATGGTAGGACCTTGGCAAGAAAGCGGGAGCCTCTTCCATCCTCCCAGGGACTTCTGTCTTCCTCCAGGACCATGTTGCAGTCCCTTGTGACAGAGGCTGTGAATGAGAATTACTGCTGGGCTGCAATTAGAAATCTTCCCTCAGTCTTAAGGGAATAATGTTTTGGAGACCTCAAGGATTTCTTCCTCTCCCCTACCCGCCCCCGGAAGGCTGTGGTGTTTGATCAGGAAGGAGTGTTTGGGGGAAATTACTGCTTTTACACTCCTCTTCCTCTGGCACATTTTTGCTTTCCTGAATGTTTGCTTTCCCTGTATGTTGTGGAAGACAGCACATGACCCAACATGTTTGAAGTAAAAGCATCACTTGCGTGTACAATTTCATTAGGTTTGCATTCTTAGTGAAAGTCTTATCAGGAATTACCTTCTGTGTGCAGTGTAATTGCCGATGATTTTTTGTCATTTAAGGAATGCTGTGTTGCTTGTGTGTTCAAGGAGCCTATAGCACCTAAATGAGCAACCCATGAAAACAGGGAAAGAAGATTTTAAGAACCTTTGCATAACCGTGAGGACTAAGCTAACTGGAAAGATTAACTATTTCAGAGGTCACTGTGCTTCTCTGAAACCTGTCAATCTGTTTTACTGCAATTTCTTTTCCAAGCTAATTAATTAATGGTCTGAGCTAGAACTTTAGTTACATTATATTGGTCTCTTTTTTTCTTTTACCCTGTCTCCCATCGGTCTACTTTATTCTAACCTAATCTCTAAATATAACTTAACTAAGGTGTTTCTACTGCAAAATATCACTGTAGCATCTGAACATAATTAAACCACTTTTACTGTTCTCAAGTGCTTTTGGTCAAATGGAGCGCAGCTCACTGCCACTTCTATTCAGCCCACACTAATTCCAACATTTTTGAATGATGAATGATCTTGTTTTCAACATGTGACTTTATAGCTTTTATATTTCCCAGTATGACACAAACTTTAGGACACATTTCTACTTAACAATTTTCAGTTAGGTGCAAATGACAATATTCTTCTCTCTTCTAATTACCGTGTGTTTGATTATGATGTTCCAATGATTGTATTATCATGTTTGTAGTTACAAATTAATTATGCATGTTCTTGATGTGTGTTTTCTAATAAAATCATATTATATTATGCATATATTATATATATATTAAGTTTTCTTAAAGCCCTCCCTATTCTCACCCTCCATAGCCTTGATTATGAACCTCATATAAAAGGCACTTTTGAAAATCAAATAAATCTTTAAAATATCTTTACATTTTAAAAGTCAAAACTAACCCATTAACCAATGACTGGTGCAGACCAGAAAGTACATGTGTTATGTGTTTCTCATGAGAAATTACTTCTGTCAGCATAATTGTAATTGTAGCTGCCTTCTGCTTGCTAGAAAATCCTTTTTCTAAGTCACATTTCACATTACACAAAAAAGTTGAAAAATGAACGTGTCATAAAGCCTTTGCCTTACATGTGCACGTATGCTCATTTTTCTTAGTGAATGGTAGCAGAGAGAGACTTCAGAAAACAATTCAAAGCATATAAGTTAGGACCCTGGTATGAGTGATCCAGAGGTGCCCACTTCTCTCTGCTGACTATGCAGGGATCCCGGAAAGCCTCCTCAGCTTACTCAACTGCCCAGATTATGTGCTTAAAGTTAAAAGACACAGATATCCCTCAGATCTATATTCTGCCTTCAGTACAGCTGAAATGGGGAATCACTTTTCAACCGTCTATGAAATGGGTTTATTCAGGTTTTTTTTCACTGTACATTTGAACTACAAGTATGAAAAGCTTTCAGGAGATACAACTAAGTCATTTAAAAGTGACTACGTTTGATCCCTCTAAAAAACTCAAGTAACGTAGGCTTGCAATGTAAACTTGTTACTCCAAAAATTCCCATTTCATACGTCTTTCATATAGTGGTTTGCTTTATCAGGATCAGGAATGGTGTCCTTCCTGTACCTTAAATATACGTGTTGAAAAGCTGATACTTATTTGCCCATCTGATACCTTTTTATCACATACTAGTGACAGTTACAGTTCTAAGAAGACTGCTAATGTGCAGCCAAAACTACAGCAATATGTATATTGCGTTAGCTGTTGTTGCTCAGTCTTGACTGGGTGTTATCAAGAGATGCCATGTTCACACTGAAAGCTTTTTTTGTACAAACTGTAGGCTTCTTCACAACCAGAATTAGGCTCTGGTTATGGATAACCAGACTTAGCAAAAGACTACAAAAACAAGCCTAAGTCCATACTTACTAAACAAGTTCTTAGAAGTTAGCAATGTCTTCTTACATTGTGCTTAGCACAAAATAAATTCAGCAACCACAAACCTATAGAAATAGCTAACATGGCTGTATCACACCACTGACATCATGCAGTGAGGCATGGCTGCTCCATGTGTGAGGACAAGTTTTGGCCTATCACCCTCTCATCCACAGTTCAACTGCATGCAACACGAGATTTAAGTACATTCCTAAGCTTTGCTGAAGCAAGATCTTACACCCTTATGTAAAGGTGTTGAGGTTATGGCAAGTTTCTTTCGAGTTCAGTGGGTTTCAATAAGGGATTTATTGTGGAAGAGGTTTTCAGGGGGTCTTTGGTTAAATACCAAGTTCCTTCAACGATCTACACAGATTGCAGTATCAATTTGTTAGTCTGACACATGCTCATTCTGTTAAAAGGAGGATGCTACACCAAATAGATGATTTCTTACATTGCTCCATGTAATATAGCTTGCATAATTCATGATAAAAATGGCTTTGAGATGTTATTGCTAGAGAAATTGCAAAACTACATACACATAATAATGTGTAGTAAACTATGCTGTAACATGAGTGTCTTTAAACATTTTAAAAGGAAACATTATAAGCTGATGGTAAATTTTTTGGATGCTGTTTACGTTTGAACTTTTCTCCGTTTTCCTGTAGAAACTTCCGTATCCTCTTCCTGTGTCCCTACGAAGTTTTGTACAATGCAGAACAAGAAATGCTACAGGGATTGTGCTCCACCTTTCTCCTTCCTGCTGGGATATCCTTTCTGTAGAGGAATGAAAAGCATGTAATATTCAATTTAAAATGTTATATTATTCTTTATCTCAGTAATTTTCTGTTATCTACAGCATATCAAGCTGACTACATTGGTTGCAGAAGTACACCACTATTTTTACATTTTTACAATATACAAGTTTCTCAGCCCAGGGTAGCTAAAATCTACCACAAAGTTTCTTGTTTTCCAAAGTCTTATCAAGGGTTCATGTCTAAGCCAAACAAGACAAGAGTGGGTTGGGTTTTTCTCTTCATTGTTTCAAGTGAATTAACAGGAAGAGGGGAGTGCTTTACCTGTCTGACACTAGAGCAATATTCATTAGCTCCCACTTTTCACTTGTCTGTCTGTCCAGACCCTGTCTGCATCCTTGTGGGAATTGTACGGGAATTTCTTAACTCCCAGTAATAAATAAGGAAATCAGTAAGGGCCTTTGATCTGAGTTCCAGCTTTAATTTGTTCTAAAAGTCAATACTTGCAATAAAATAAAGGAACAGGGCTTTAAAAGCTTAGTTAATGTTAACGGACTATTTTCATGAGAAGTCAGTGTGAGCTTTTACCATTGTGCTTAACTCTGTTGGAAGCCTACACACATCTAAATGCAAATGTATATATGTATGTTTCTCATTCAGATCATTTAGCAGTTCTTCCTCATCAATAGCAATAAGGCATGATGGTGGTCAAAATGGAAGAGCATTATTCTGCAGTCTGGTAGACAGGGAGGTCAGAAAACAAACTGATTATTCATTTCAAATGAAGTTTCTGTATGTCAAATAATAAGTTATCCACAAGGCTGTGAAATTGAAATAATGCAAAAGGGCACAGACTTAAAAATACGCAGATGTTTCAGACAATTTGTTGAAATACTTACCAAATAATACTAAGTAGATGTTTTACAATTTACATTTACAGAACAAAACTCCTCCCTCTGTGAGAGTGAGATCTGCTGAGTTAAAAGTTTCTTAGAGTTACCAGTTCTTTATTTTCCCCCCACCTTTTCTGGCAATTTATATGTTTTATTGGCTTGTATATCTTTCTTCTTGTGCTAAATATAACAGGCAAACAGAATAAGGGGAAATGTTCTGACTTGTAGAAAATAAATAGTACGAAGAACAAAATAAGGATGTAGCCAGTAAAATCCATTATTTAAAATTTGTGCCTTTGCTGATTACTAAACTGATTAAGAATTATATGTCAATTTAACCTTCATTTTATCATACCTATTTATATTGTGATGTTCTTGCCTGACATTAATTCTATAAAAATTATTTCTTTAATAATAAGTAACGTAGCACAAGGCTAACAGAAGGCAAGGAATAGTCCCTAAGAAAATCCACTGTGTTTAAAGCTGCTACAATGATGCTGAAAATTGAGATGAGAGTGCACTTTTTTAGGCAAATTCCAAGATCACAGTTAGCAGTGGTAAACACACTTTTGCATGTAACAAACATTTATGATTGTGTTAGAGTAATTTTGCTTTTGTGGTAATGGATTTGACTCCAATTCCAGTTCTGCCCAGGCTCTCTTATGTCTAGATTAACAGAACTATAGTCAAACCATTGGTGTTTCTCTGAACTTTTATTGGGTTAATTATGAACAATTTCAGACACTTGTTGATGTTTCAGAAATAAATGTTGGCTTCCCAATTTCAAAGAGGCAGAAAAATCTTCAGCTCATTTTTTTACAGAAATGAGTCTTGTCATCCCACACTATGTGAGCGGAGGTGAGAGAACCTATATCTGTGCGACTGTAGACATACTTACACACTTTGATGTGTTTGTGTGGTGTCTGCCAGTTCTCCCTGATAGCAGGTAACCCAGCTTTCCCATTTCAGCCAAATTGATGGAAATACTCTCAAAAGTCCAACCAACATTATTGTAGGTTCTATGAAAATTCTGGGAAAATCAGCTCTTCGAATGTTAGTGCTACATCAGGAGGAAGGGTAATTGAGCTCCACAACCCATGGACACAAGTGAGCCCACATGATGATAAATGCCTTAATCATGTGATTAGAGTCAACTGGAGTTTGCTCTTATCAGGCACCAAAAAACACAGCCAAAATATGTAAAACCATTATGAAGCCAGACTTCATTATCTCTTCCTTTCTGGAACAAATTGTTTTCCATAGCTCCACAGAGATATAAACTCTGCTCTTCTTGTCCAACACACACAAGATGCTACTAGAAAAGATTGGACTGTCTTGCAGGTCAGTGTTATGCCAGCTACAGATAATAGTCTTCAGCCTGCTTCTATGTGGTTATATCTTTCTACTTTGGTCCTGGTTCTCTTGATAATCTCGGTTTACCTATCAGAACCTCATGAAACCACATTTCAGAAGGTATAGATAACTGTGTTCTGCTCTCTGAATTAACCTCAAAAGCAGTGCAAACTTTTAAAATGTCTTCCCCCATAGCTTACAGGAGTCTTCTTTCCTTGAGAGCATCATTGTAAAATTGAGTGTGCTAGTGATCTTAACAAGAACAACATTTATTAAAACCAAGGTGAAAACAAAAACAAAAAAATGTGTACTTTAGCCTAATTTATCAGTTACATTTCTGATCAGCTATATTAGATAAGACAGTCTGAGTTTTATAGATGAAAAAAATATAAACAAGTATCTTGGTGAAGAGCTTGCTTCAGTCTCTAGAGGGTTCTCTCATTGCACAGCCAGTCAGTTATTTTTGAACTAGTGGCTTTCTGAACTAGTTTCCCTAATTACATGTATACATAAGGCTGTAAACTCTCCTCTAGGACTGTGAACTTTCTTCTAGGACAAGCAGAAACCAAATCAGCATTAGTTAAAATAGAGATACGAGACATGCAGGTGGTTGGTTTCATTTAATGCTTACATTAGCTCATTTTTCATAGAATTGTAGAATGGTTTGGTTGGAAGGGACCTTAAAGATCATCTAGTTCCAACCTCCCTGCCAGTGAACAGGGGATGCTCTAGTGGAAGACTTTTTATTGAAGGTAAAGAACAACTTCTTAAAAGTTTAGCAACTATTTCAGAGCCTACATTTTCAGATGTCTTTGTTCACTTAAACCTCATTGCAAGCAACTCCAAACAATTATTTCTTCACCTCAGAAAAACTGTTTCATAATTTGATTAAATTAAAAAAAAAAAAAAATCTATGTGAGTGTTTCTGTGAGGATTTGATTGATGTAAAAGCACAGCAAAAAAATGAGTGCTCTGTGTAATTCTGAAAACAGTGAAGCCAGATCATGACTTGTGTCTCCTGTGGGAGGTAACCAAGTTGGGCATTTACCATGGTGCTGAAAGGGTTTCCTTCCTCTTGCCTGTACTTCCCCAATCAGCATGGTCTGCAAGACCTCCATGCACTCAAGAGCCACATCACTAAAACATGGCAGTAAGCTGTATTTAGAACAGGGCTGCATCTGCCTTTCCAGGTTCCACAGTCTCCGCTTCCATTCCTCTCCCACATGCAAAAACGTTCCTTCAGGGACTAATGCTTTCCTCAGTTGAGCAGAACAGCTGTCAAGGGAGTTTATGAAGAAACAAAAATGAATCACAGGCTAAAGATTTATTTAATAATCTAGAAACAGATGCCCTTGAGGATGTGTGGTATAGTAGAAGAAACAGCAACTTTTATGATGCCTGTCTTTCTCCCAGCACGAATCCCCTCTGGCCTGCCTCACTGCGGCTTTGCCAGCTTCTTTTAAGGTAGGTCTGGCAGCTTAGAGACCTCTAGGCAAAAAGGAAATCTGGAATTGTAGCATTTCAGTCCTTTTTAATAAGTTGTTCTGCTCACATAGCAGCTTAATTTCCATGGAGCTCTATCAAAACAATGTTTGTGCCTTTTTTCTAAGATGCATGTTGTTTCATCACTTTTCTTCAAAGTTCTGTGTAACTGTTGAATAGAGTGAAAGAGGGAACTGAGACGTTATGGGTGCCATGGCAAGGGTGCCGGGAAGTGATGAGCAGTTATTGATAATGGTTCTTTGCTTCAGGAATGGAGAACTTACTTAACTGTTCCAAGATCTTTGCTGAACTAGGAGAATATTTTATATCTTTAAGAGACTATTATCTTGCAGTGATCTGCAAATTACTGAACTGTCACCCTTCTCAGGTCTGGAGAAAAAGGGGGGTCATTTGCCTGGAAAATATGTTTTTGTACTTAAATGAGGAGGGAGTGGGAACTCAGGTGTCAAAGTTCAAGCTTATGGCATTATCTGCTAACCTTTTCAATTAAATTGCTTAGAAAGGGGAAGGCAATATCTGCTGGTAAGATATCAATCATCCTGTCACTGTAACAGGTATATGCTATTTGAGTGACTTCAAGCAAGACTCACACTGTCTGGAGATGACAAAGAGTCAGCTGTCTGTGACATAAGAATGGGATTCTTCCAGAGTATAGAAGAGAAAATATCAAAGATGGAAAGGACACAAAAATAATTTAAGTCTGTTATTTCTGGTGTGTTTTTTTTACGCAGCATGAACAAGTTCTACACTGAAGAGCTGTAGAGCAAAGAGCACATTCATTAAAGAAGAAGAGGAGAGGAAAGGAGAGTATAGGATTTGAACTGTGTTCTGCTATATCTAACAGCTTACACTATACACACACTAATATCCCAAATCAGCAGTTATACCCTCAAATGTAGCTGTTTGTGAGCTTATACACCCAACAGAAATTCTGTGTGTTCTCTAGCATTAATGCTTATGCACAGGCTTGTTCTGTACTTAGTGTGTTGTTGTATGAGATTACAGAATACTACTGGGTCCAACATTAGAGGATGTAGAGAATTATTGGTCTGTTAGGTAGGAACTGAGAAAGCTTAGAAATGGCTGCTTTGAGCTGTCATCATTGCCTAAGAAGCTTCAGAAAGACCTTGAATTGATGTGCCAAATTCATTGAAGAATTAGAATCCGTACCTCTGTGTGTAACATCTTACATGTCTTAAAATTCTGAAGAAGAAAAATGGGTAACAACCAAACTCCTGGTTATAGTCAGATACATACTTGGTATTTTTTGAGG